GGTCCCTGCACGCCGGCAGGGCTGGGGCTGGATGAGCAGTAGCGGTATTCATGTGGAGAGCAGTCCTGTGGCTCTGCCAGGGTCACTGTGTCGCCTGATGGAAGTGGGCTGGGGGCCGGAGCAGCTCTTGGGGGCACCAGGGGCAGACTTCCCCACCCCATTGCTTCCTTCTTCCCCATGCCAGCAGGGCTGGGGAGATGGAGCAGCAGCAGCACGCATGCAGGGGTAGGGATCCCAAAGGGCAGGAAACTTTCCCGGCACTGCGCAGAGTCCTTGTGCCTCCCAGTAGAGATGAGTGGGCAGCCAGGGCGACTCTCAGAGATACCAGGGGGAGTCGCAAGTCGGGGCTTTCACCTCCCCCACTCCTATGCGCCTAGGGTTGCCAGGTGTTCAGTATTCACCTGGACAGTCTGATATTTTCGTCTCCTGTCCAGTAAAAAAAAATTCAGAAAATACTGGACACCTAAGATGTCCGGTATTTTCTGATTTTTTTTCCCCTCCCTGGCCAGAAGGCGAAAATGCCGGGCACCTGGCAACCCTACAAACACTCAGCGCCTGGCCTGCCCCCCCGCCCCAACCCTTTCCCGGCCCCCCAGTCTCCCGACCCCATGCTTACCTGGTTCCGCAAAGTTGCTGGCACAAAATGGCTTCTGGCAAAAAGACCAAGGGGAAGCAATGACTCCCCTGGGTCTTAGTGCTTAACCGCTCCCCTGTTCCTATGCCTGCACAAACTCATAAAGGGAACATGCTGTTTTAATGCTGTTTTATTTTATTTTTTTGCTTAAGTCTTGGAGTCTTTTTTTTTTGCTCAACAACTCCCCCCCCCCTTTTTTTTTCTTCAACAGAATTTTTTCCCAGTGTTTTTTTGGGGGATGGGGCGGGTGTTCAGTATTTTTGGTTCAACCATCTGGCAACCCTACATGCGCCCAGAAGCCAGAGCTGGTGCTCCGAGCCTTGTGACTACGCAGTCTCTGGGGTAGCGGGGGCTGAGCTCCTGCCACTGACTCCGTGTGCCACTGAAAATCAGCTCATGTGCCTCTTATGGCATGCATGCTGTAGGTTGCTGACCCCTGATCTAAAGTTTTAAATTGGAAGTAATTGCAAAAAATGTAAATAAATCAAAAAAATTGTTGTCCCTCTTTCTCCATTGTTGCTTTACTGGAAATATTTTGATTTAATATAGATTAACACCTAATGATTTTTTCAGTTAGTTTTCCATGCCATTTTTTTTTAACCTCAGTTTTAGGGGAACTTTCATAAAGCTGCAAGATAGTCAGCACCTAACTTTGTAGGAAACTTCTAGGCTTTCTTTTTTTTTGCCTCTTTGCAAAATAACATCTCAAATTTATGACTTGCTTAATGTTACAGTATTTTCATGAGTGGTGGCTAACCTGCAGCCCACAGGCAGTATGGGACTCATCAGGGTTAGCCGCTGGCAGATCACCAAATAGGTTGTTTACCTTGTTTCTGCAGGTCTAGCCGCCCACAGCGCCCGCTGGCCACAGTTCGTGGCTCTTGGCCAATGGAGGTGCAAGAAATGGTGGCCAGCAAGTCCCTGCAACCCAGGCCACTTCCTGCAGCTTCCACTGGCTGAAAACAACAAACTACAACCACTAGGACCTGTGGGCAGCCAGACGTGCGAATGCCTGGTAAACAACCTGTCTGGCAGTCCATCAGTGATTTACCCAAATGAGCCACATGCAGCCCTCAGGCTGCCCACCATTAATTTTCACTGTTATATATGAATGCTCAAGCTCCATTACCATAAAATATGAAGGCCTGGTCAAACAACCATTAAAATGACATGTGCAGCATCAGACCCCAACAAAGTTAATAAGGCTCTCTGATCCTGAAAAAAAATACACATGATAAAATTTAAGTACACAAGTACTTCTCGTATTGATTTCAGTATCTCATACAAGTAAAGTTGAGCACACCTGTAACACTTTGCAGGATCAGAGCCTAATGTGAGGATTAGAAGATCTTGGAAGTAAAGAGCTCTAAATTAAGTAATAAATGCCAAGTAGCTTACTCTTTTCCCCTACCAACAAAGATAAAAATAAATTGTTGATCTGTTTATTTAATATCACTAAATATGTTTCTTGTTTTCAGAAAATTAATAGACGTCTCCATTTGTCAAAAACGAAGCACAGCAAATTCAATGAATCAGGGCAGCTAGCATTTTTCTACTTGTTTTCATTTGTCTGGGGAGCAAGTATTTTGACTGCAGTAAGTAAGTCAAATTGCTATCTGTATTTGTTTTAAAATACACCTTTAAAATATTATGAAAGCTCTTAAATGACAACTTTCTTTCCAGGAAGAATTCATGACAAACCCTACCTTGTTATGGAAAGACTATCCCCATTCTCGTATGTTGTAAGTATTTTTTTTCTAGGTGTGTGATAATTGGCTACCAGAACTTTGTTTTGGTAATACAAACAGTGTAGACAGTTTTCATTTGTATTAGTGACCAATAGCTGAAAATCCTTCATTCTGTATATCTTTAATGTTTGCAAGCTGTCAGCTGGTGGCTAAGGTTTGTTTTTGAGTTGGGTTTTTTAATGTGGTAATTTAGGTTCCCATCCTGTAAATGTTTGCCACCAGTGTTTAACTTTAACTTTACCATACAGGTAGCCCCACTAATTTCAATGAGTGTAAAGTTAAGCATATGCAAAAGTGGTTAGAGTAATATTGCCTGAGTCAGTATTACTAAATCAATGGTTTTCCCAACATGTGGTCTGTAGACCCCTGGTGGTCTGTGATGGTATTGCGGGAGGGGGGGTGTCAGTGGAAAGTTTAAAAATAAGGAGCAATCCTTACTTTACTTTTTATTTACTTTTTCTTTCCTTACTTTTCTTTTCCTTTTCTCCCCCACCCCCACCCCGAGGGGCATGAAATTTTAATAGATTGAAAAGGGGTCCGTATACTCGAAAAGATTGAAAACCACTGTATTAAACCATTACTGATGGAGGATGGTGAGTAGGTGTGTTTTCCTCCACTCCCCAAACTAAAAACAACAAATGGCCCAAACAGTGATCTAGAACTTGCAAATAGAAAGGGAATTAGTAAAGATGTATTCAATAAATTATTTCTTGACTTTATCAACTACTGTAAAGCAGTTTCTGTTTGCAATTCCTTTGCTTTATAGTAAAGCATATTATAGGTCGGAATTTCTTATTTTGAGGGAATAAGATGAAACATTGTGCCCTTTAAAAACCTAAACACTCAACATCCTAATCTTCTTCCCTTCTAAACTGTTGTCTAGTTTTCAGGTAAAATTCTTCTATGTCTGCCAGATTGCCTATTGGCTTCATGCACTCCCAGAATTGTACTTTCAAAAGATTCGAAAGGTATGAATTGAAACCTTTGCTACTTTATTTTAAAAAATAATTTTCTATTGCTTGATTTGTTTACTAATGTAATCTTTGGGAAACTTTCATGGGGTGCATATTTCAAATAGAATTCCTTTACCTACAAAGAGACATACTGCAGTGAGGAAGATAAGGACGGTTGACACGTTTCAATATGGTGGGTTTTAAAGCAATTTAGCTAAAATTTAACATTAAGTTTTCTCTTAATTTTAGGAAGATATACCAAGACAGCTATACTATATCTGCCTTTACATTGCTCACATATCTGGTGCCTACGTACTAAAGTAAGTATTTGTAAATACTAACTGAAAAATTTTACTTCATTGTTCTAGTATCAGATATTTTTTACTACTCTTCATATAGCTCTTCATATTCCCATTTATGGTTACTGTGCTATATTGTGGTGCTATATAGTAAAACCTTCTCATAGCAGTGTCCATTAGATTGCTCTCGTAGCCCTTCATCATCAGGATATACTAAGCTAAGGCCATTTAGGAGACAATGCGCCCTCACCACCAGTGTTCCCTCTAAGCTGGGTGGCTGATTAATCACCTATGTATCTGTGCTGCCAAGCAGCTTAGAGGGAACACTGCTCACCGCCTCAGTTCCTTCCAGATGTCTGAACAGATGTGAACTTTTCTGGTCTTTTTGGAACAGAGGCTTTTATTCTTGAGGTAGTTAGCATTATTATTATGTAGTTAGTGATTCTTTCCAGTTCTGCATAATGGTAGAATTGAAGAAACAGAAGAACCTAGGTTTCAAAAGATGCATTTCCTGCCTGGCTATCTTTCCAGCATCTGATGACTGTTCAGTGCCTCGAGAGCCTGGGAGAAGCTCATTCTTTCTTTAGGTGTTGGATTTGCTGACCTTTTTCTCCCAAAGACTTGCTTACAGTTCGTCCTTCTCAAGAAAACTCCCAAGGCCTCACCCTCTGGATACAAACAGTTCTCAGATCCAAAGTCTAAGACAGATCTTGTTTTCCAGCAGTTCCAAAGGACTAAAGGGTTCCAAGAACCCACATGCTATGTTGAGACTGGATGCTCCTTAAGTAAAGCTCCTAAGGCTACATATGTTTGAACTAGGGATGTGAAAGTGTAACCATTTTACACAGTTAACTGATGAGGCAGCAGAACAGGAGGCAGGCTTTGAAGCCATCTCCCTACATGCATCAGCTCCTGAGGGGCCACTTTCTCTGGCTCCCCTCCCACCCATGCTGCTGCCTCTGATATAGAAGCAGCAGATTGGGGCTGCAGGTGGGAGCTGTCCTCCCTCCCCACAATTGTAACCGCTGAAATTTTCAGTGGTTACATGATAACATAATTAAATGCATTTTAACATCCTTAGTTTGAACAAAGGGCTCTCCAGATGCCCTGACTCTGGTGGGGAGCAGTTGAGAGATAATTTGGCCACCAGCATCAATACCTTTCTTCATGGTTTGCAACTGCCTGATCCTGTCGAACTCCTGTGCTGCAGGGCCAGAATCAGTTTCAATGTTCACTTCTGGGTTCAGAAAGACGGATTTTGTTGGTGTGACCTAACTTGAGCCATTCATGCCCTTTGGTTCTGGCTGTTGCTGCAAGGAGGGGAGTGCATGATTAGATTAACCAATAAGATTAACTGATAAAACAAGGTTTATTGGTTAATATTGTAGTGGACTACACGTTGACATGCCTAGTCAGTCCCTGTCAGATGCCTTCCTTCTGCATTGGGAAAAGAGCTTTCTATATGCATTCCTCTTATTTTCTCTTGATCCAGATGGTAGTGAGAAAGCTGTCAGAGTAAGGCAAGGCTGTTATTCATTGCCCCAGTTTGGCTATGTAAGCAATGGTTTACTAATCTTCATCTGTCAGCAGGGTCTGCATGTGTCTTCCTTGGTCCCATAGTAGCATCACCAAATGGTGTGGGCAGTCTGATTGTGACTCTCTAACAGTCAGGTTCTTCACCTGTGTAGGACATACTAATTAACTGTTTAATTCAGCCTAGTGGTCTTTTTAAAGTGCCAAAACTGCTTCTAGATTTCAGGCTTGCATGAAGGGAAGATCTGAATCCCTGCATCTGCTTCCAGGGTTATTCTAAGGATTTATGGGGCCCTATGTATTACTATTAAGCTGGTGCCCCTATGCCAAACCGCAGCCTGGGATGGGGGAATGATTTTTTTTTAGAGAGATGATTTTATAATCTTCAGCAACACACCAATGAAATAGTTTTAAAGCAAATTTTAAACTCCAGTCCTGTTGACTAACACAGTAAATTCAGAAACAGGTGGTATATACCTGGGGTTAGGAAATGCCTGTTAAATGGCTTCATTACCACTTGAATGGCCCTTTCGCAGGTTCCATGTTCTGCTAATCGGTCTGGCAGGCTTTGTCACTTTTAAATTAACTAGATTCTATCCAGAGGATAGTTCGAATCCCGTGCTGCGCGGCTACACGCGGCACAGAGTAGCTAGTTCGGATTAGGCTTCCTAATTCCACTCCTAAAGACTAACTCCTGTTCCATGAGGAGTACAGCTAGTTCAGATTAGAAGCCTAATCCGAACTAGCTACTCTGTGCCGCGTGTAGCCGCGCGGCACGGGATTCGAACTAGCCGGCATTTAAAAATGGCGCCGGCCGGCTTCATGCAAATGAAGCCCGGGAAATTCAAATCCCGGGCTTCATTTGCAACTGCGGATGACTACATTACCCCCGCTAGTTCGAACTAGCGGGGTAGTGTAGACATACCCTCAGTGTATCATACTCTGTCTAGTTGATGGTAGAATGCTGTTTCGTTGTTCAATTGAAAGATTTATGAAGAGCTTATCAGATGTGTAGTTAGAGAGCCTTTCTCTTCTTGGGACCTGAATTTGGTGCTTGTCATGCTGGTAAAATGGCCTTTTCAACTCTTGACTGAGTGTTCTACCATTTATCTATCCAAAAAGCTTTTCTTATTGCTATCACGTTGGCAAGGGGAGTGAGTGAGTTGAATGCCCTTATGGCTGATTCACCTTTCACTTTTCATAAGGATAAGTAGTTCTCAGACTTGACCTCAGATTCTTATGTAACATGGTGTCTGATTGCCACATCCAACAGGTCATTAGTTTGCCAGGTTTCTTTCCCCTGCAGCTGCACTCTAATCAGTGGAAATCTGTCCTACATAGTTTGGATGTCAGAAGGACCCTAGCCTATTATTTAGACAGAACTAAAAGCTTTTGTACATAATTGAGATGGTTATGGCTTATGCTACGAACAATAGCAGGTATATGATTTCTTCCCAAACTATAGTTTAAACCAGTGGTCTCCAATCTTTTCAAGCTCAAGGTCAGTTTTTTAATTTGTCAGTCCAGGATCTACCGCAAACCCAAGTACCCTTGCCTTGCCCCTTCTGCAAAGCCCTACCCCACCCCTTCACTGAGTCCCTGCCCTCCTCACTCTGTGAAGATGGAGTACAGAAGAGGGAGACAGAGTGACATAGGTGCCCCTGCCTCTGTCTCCCCCACCTGCACAACAAGCAGGAGGCTCCCAGGGGCAGCGCTGAGGCTCTGGGCAGGAGCAGCAGGGCAGTGTGGGGAGGGGCAGCTGAAGTGCTGGCACTTGCTAACCTCCCAGCCAAACCAGTCAGGATCACCTGTCATAGGATCCAAGATCTACCAGTAGATCCTGATCTTCTGGTTGGGGACCACTGGTTTAACCAATGTATTGATGAACTACATACTGGCAAACATTCTTCTATCTGCTGCAGTTAGACCACTAGACAGGTGTGGCTGTCTCCTTTGCTTGTTTTAGGTAGGTACATATTGCTGAAACTTGCCAGCCACAATCTGAATTGTGGTGCATATTTTCACAAAGCACTATGCTTTGACTTGGCTTCTAGGGAAGATGCTGGATTTGGCAAAGCAGTGCTTGTGTCTGTTCAACTAGGACCCTGGGTCCACCTCTAGGTCAGTCTTGGCATTGCTTATTAATGTATTCCATAAATGGGAGCAAACAGAGCCACTCAAAAGAAAAAAACCCAGGTTCTTCAAAAGAGCTCTGCCTAGTCACGTTTCCCATTGTCTTTCCCTCTTGGAAAATATATTTATTCTGTCTCTGCCTTTGTGGTGGAAGGAACTGAAATGATGAGGGGGCTCTATTCCTACTGTAGCTTTATGATACTGAGGAGTAGGGTGGGAGCAGGAGCAGGAGCATTCAACCTGGCAATGTGAGAAGCAGGTTTTACCATAAGGCACCACAAGTGTGAATATACAGGGATGTTGAAGTACCTCAGTTAAAAATAAAGAACCTTCGTTTTCCATTACAGCCTTCAACGTCTGGGGCTAATTTTGCTGGTACCTCACTATCTAGTGGAGCTCATTTTTCATGCCTCACGTCTTTTCTACTTCAGTGATGAAAACAAGCAAAAAGGGTAAATTTTGCATGTACTATCTCTTTTTAATTTTGAGAGCTTTAATTGTAATTTCTATTGGCATAAATGTGCTTGCATGTCCATAACATAAAAAGCACATTAGGAGATCACACATCCTAAGCTATATCTGTGATCTTAATATTACTGGCATTTCATGAGGAGTCTAGTGCAGGGGCAGGCAAAATATGGCCCATGGGCCAGATCCAAACTGCCAAGCCACCAGATCTGGCCCACAGATGCAGTGGAGAGCCTCAAGCAGGCTCCCTGCCCACCTCACCCCTGGAAGCCACTCAGAAAACTAGTTGTGGGGCCCTGTTTGTCTTTGAATAGCTGGGAGCCCACAGGAGGGGAGAGAGGCTTTGCACACTGCCCCTGCCTCCAGCATAATCCCATTTTCTGGTTTCTGGCCAGTAGGAGCTGCCTTTTTGAAGAACAACCCAGGCCCTCTCCCTCCCCCCGCCCAACCCTCTGCCCTCTCTTCCTGCACCATGCCCACTCCCAGACCCTGCACTCTAGTCCTCTGCCCCAGGTCACTAAACCCTCCTGCTGTAGGTCACAACCCAAATTCTTGCACTGCTTCCTGCACCCAAGTTCTCTATCCCAAGTGTCAACTCCCTGCTGCCCTACCCTCATAGCCCCTGCCTGAGGTCACAACCTGCCTCCTTCATCCAAACTCCCTCCCAGATCTCACGTCCCCTCCTGCATCCCAGTCTCTTACTGCAAACTTCATTCTGTACCCAACCTTCATCCCAGACTCCACACCTTCTCCATTAATATCATGTAAGCATGTAGTCCTTGACCACTCTCGAAATTCTTGGAGGGGCCCCACATCAAAAATTATTGCCCACCCTGATCTAGTGTCATTATGTAGAATCGAGAAAACTGATATATAACTTCAAATTTTTCAAGTAATATTTCATAAAATAATGTTTGAGGAATATGTAAACCATTTCTGTTGTAAATGCCTACCTGCTCTGATATGTTTTTAATTGTAAGTATATTTATGGAGATCTTTGTTTTAAAAACAAGTGCACCTTAGAATAAAAAATAGTATAGACTCCAAAACGATTACACCTCTCTCAGAATCTATTTCTGTTTTTGAAGTTTGTTCATTTTTGTAAATCGATACAAAATAACTGTCAGAATTATACTAGTATTTTATAGTAATAAATGCAGCGTCTAAACAATGTGTATTACCTTTATGATAGGAAGAAAGTCGGTCTGTGCATTACCAGTTTTATATTCTGCCCCTTCTTTGCAAGGGGTGGACAGAAAGTGAAAGTAAAATACTGACAATTTCAAATTGCATAGAATAAACAATTTTACTTTATATCTTGAATGATTTACTCACTTATTTTGAGATGTAAAGTTATAAAGAGAATTGTATCAAAGCTGGAAAGGGGAAAAACAAGAGGACAGGTTAGAATGAGAGTAGAGGAAGTAAACTCAGTTACAGTGTTGCTAGTGGGTTAGCATGAAAACACTTGTGGCACTTACAGCGCCTTTCAGAGTGGTGCATTCTGGGCAGCTATCCCATCGAGCATCTCTTCTGCCACAGAGGTTTGTGGGGAGGCATGGGCATCTTGGGTCCTGTCCCAATGCTTTATGGTGCGTTGCTTTGCATCCTAGCAACCTCTTGGCTTCTGTGCCATCTTTTAACAGCTTCTGTGCTGTGTGCTCTGCCTGCTCGTTCTGCAGAAATGGATCCCCAGGTGTTGATGAAAATGCTGATAGGTTTCACTAGCACTTCGTGAATAGCAGTCAAGTTATTCCTGAAGTTTCAAAGTGATGAGGAGGAATCCCAGAACATTCATACAACACAAGATTGCTTGTGGCATTCACAGAGATGCTGATCACAGTGGAATGTTGCTTTTGCGCTTGGGGAAACAAGCACTAAGTGGTAGGATCACATCATCGTGCACGCCTGAGATGATGAGCAGTGGCTGCAGAGCTTTTGGATGAAGAAAGCCACTTTCATGGGATTGTGTGCTGAGCTTGCCCCCACCTTGCAGCACAAAGATACGCAAATGAGAGCAGCCCTACAATGGAGAAGTGCATGACAATTGCACTTTGAAAGCTGGCTACTCCAAACAGCTTTTGCTCAGTTGTTAATCATTTTCAAGTGGGAAGGTTGACCGTTGGACTAGTGCTGATGGAAGTGTGCAGGGCCATTAATAGCATCCTGCTCCAAAAGACCATAACTCTGGGCAATGTGCATGAAATTGTGGATGACTTTGCACAGCTGGGCTTCTCAAACTGTAGAAGGCATGCATATTCCAGTTCGTGGGCCTGACCACCTAGCCTCTGAGTACATTGACCAGAAGGGGCATCAGAGGCATTTTTGGCTCACTGTGGGCGTTTCATGGACATGAACACAGGCTGGTCCGGAAAGGTGCCTGGTACATGAATCTTTTGGGAAGCTGAAAATGGGGATCAGAAGATCTCATTAAGTGAAGTGGAAATGCCCATTGTTATCCGTGTAGAATCTGCCTACCCCTTAATGCTGTGGCTCATGGAACCATACATGAGGAGCCTTGTCAGCAGCAAGGGGCAGTTCAGTAACAGGCTAAGCAGGTGCAGAATGACTCTGGAGTGTGTGCTGTTGGCCATTTGAAGGGTTGCTAGCAAAGTTTGTATGGGAAACTGGACTTCGCCAATTATGGTATCCCTGTGGTTACTACTTTGTGCTGTATCCTTCGTAATATTTGTGAAAGGAAGGGTGAAAGCTTTCCTAAGGGCTGAACTGCTGAGGCACAGCACCTGGAGGCTGAGTTTGAACAGCCTAAGACCAGGTCTGGTAGAGGAGCACAGCGCAGGATCATAAGAATCAGGGATGCCTCGAGACAGCAATTTTATGCTGAAAGTCAGTAAAACTTGTTGCTATTCATGGGAGTGCAGTGGCATCATTGCTAGTGGGTTACTTGTCATTGGTTCGTGCACTGGACTTTGCCCCACAGTGACCATAGCTTTGCTGGAGACATTTGTTTGCTTGCTTTCATGTAATGGAATAAAGATTTCTTTGAAACACATTGATTTATTACACACAAGGTAAACATAGGACACCTGTGAACCATGAAACACACATCAGCACTGTGGGAGACGGAGGTATTACAGGGGGAGGTAGGAAGTGAGGCATGCCCTAAGAATCATAGGTTTGTATATGTTCATGGCTCATACTCAGCCCTGCCATCTGATGTGCTGTGGAAAGAGGGCTGCAATTCATCAGGGGTAAGCTGCATATGGATTGGCATTGACAGCATCGCAGCCTTTGGGAGCCTGATCGAGTGGGCAGGTGTGGTGTGTGGCATCCAGGGACAAAGAGGTGCCCAAATTGCATTGGGGTGGTATTAGAAAAGTTTTGGGACACAGGCTGCAGGGTGGGCAAGTTGCATATCTGCTCCATCTGCAGTGTTAGCAGTGCCTCCAGTGTGTTCACTTGCCACTCCATAATGCTTAGGAGCCATTCTGTGCTCTCCTTCCACGCCCTCTTGTTGCAAGGGGATGTGGATTGCAACTGCTTTGAATACTAAGGAGAGGGGATCACCACATAGGAGCGTAAAGGGTTTGTTTATTAAGTTCAGACTGGGAAGGGGGAGGGATTTCACTCATACACTCAACCACACTTACAGTCCCAGGCAGGATGATAAGGCAAGCAGAAGGCAGTATATGATCTTCCCATGTTGACTCCTGAGCTGGCTGGCTAGGTGATCAGAGCAAAGGGCATTCTCTGGGAGGCTCCACTTGATGGTCAACCAACAACCTGTGTCTGCGTCCCTCTCTCCTTTAATGATCAGTCACGTGAAGCTTCTGAGTCTCTGGGCCTCTTGGGGCCGTGAGCACTGTTGTTTACTCCTGCTATTTACCTCAGAGTTTTCCCACCTCTTGTGTCCACCTCAAACATTCTTCTGTGCTCACTCAGTGAAGAGATAGGGGGTTAACAGATAACACTTTAACACTTTAGGGAACCAAATAACATTAACAGGTGAGAAAGAGAACATCCATTTTAACTCTTTCCTTGCTCCTCCTTTGCCTCCAACACCTCCTGTCATTGTCCTTTCATGTCTGCTATTTTTTTTTTTAGTTTGGCATCTGCATGGCTCAGGATGTCTCGCAAAAACACCTCTCAAGTCTCTCTTGGGTGCTTCCAAGCCCATCTCAGACCTCTGCAGGTGTTAGAACTTCCTGAGACCTGAGGCTGGCCCTATCAAGGACAAAATTGCAACATGTCACAGAAGACCCATTGTTAACACTAGACACAGCATTGCCCCCAACCCCTTTGAAATACTTGCACTGTCCACATGCCTAACACTACCTGTCCCAGAGCAAACATACATAACATCAGGAACCTCTCAATGGTGTGGTGAGTTCATCACTAAGGGCACTCAGGGAAATCCTTTGTGCAGTTGGGAAAGAGCCAGGGAAAACCCTTGCTATGGTGGCATGGGTGGAAGTATCCCTTCATGCAGCTGGGAAGGGGAAAGGGCAGGGGAACCCCTTGTCATAGAATCTCTTGATGTAGCTGCACAGGGTACTGGGGAGCAGGGGTTTTCATTTGCTTCTGGTTGTGATATGTTCTGGGCAGGTGTGAATTGGGGAGAACATTGCAGGGGGAGGAGGGAGTGAAGGTTTTAGTAATGGCCATTCATTTCCACAGGCTATGTTAACCCTGGAAGACATTTTGTTGCTTACGGTGAGCAGAAAAGCAAAAGAGGGTCTTTTACTCAAGTTTTGGTTCTGTCTGGGACCGTATGCAGCTTGTCTTTGTGCAGCGATAGTCTCTCCTCCCCAGTTGACGGTACAGTGGTGAGGGAACATCAACCTTCAAGGTCAAATATGTTTGCTCTGCCAGCTAATCTGAGGAGAAGAGTGGCACAGCAGCTGCATGAAGCTTTTGATGAGGTCTTTCAGGCAGATTACCAAGATGTACGATTGTGTCAACAGTCTGTTCACCATATCACCGACTCTCTTCTGGTAGCAGCATCACACCGAACCCAGCCTCCTTTCTGTAACCCTCCCGCTCTCAGCAAGCTGCTTGAATGACCACTTACCAGTAGCATCATCTGCCGCTCTGAGGGCAACAAGTAGCTCGCCTCCTCAGTGGTACAAAACTGCTCTTGACAACAAGTCTCCCAAGAATGCCAACTCCTCTTCTGGCTCTGGATCCTTCTCTCCCTCAGCACACTCTGCCACAACTTCCTTCTTCCGTCTCAGTCCACTGCTGGAAGCCTCCGAGGTATCTATGGGAGTCTTCGGAGTGGAGGTGGGGTCACCTCCAAATATTCCTGCACACAGTTCCTTCACTTTGACCCTACACTGCAGTGAGTCCTGGTCATGGCCCCTTTCAGTCATACACCTAGAGATGTGCCCATAGATATTGTAATTCTTACAGCTGGAGTGCAGCTGGGACTGGACTGCCTCCTTTTCCCAAATGCTGATGACATCTAGCACCTCAGTCTGGCTCCAAGACAAGAATCTTAAGCAGGCATGGTCATCTGAAGATATGTGCTGAGAACACACCACACGTCATCGAGTAAACAGGAGAGGAACTTTCAGATTTAAAAAAGAACACAAGGGCAGGTCCTGGTCATCTGGTTGGTCACCCGAGCAGTGCAGTGGAGTTGAAACACATGACCACAGAATCCAGATCAGGCATTGTAAGTAGGTTGCCAGAGGCCAGTCAGGTGCCCATGCTGGCACCCCAGTACACTATTCAGAGCACAACAAACGCTGTGTTTCTCATGGAGGTGGTCCCAGTGTGGACCGTGCCAAAGTTACAGTGTTGGGGACTGTAAAGTTACTAAGTTTACTACATAGTAACTTGCCAGTGTAGACTTGACCTGCGAGAAAAGAAGTATGCAACTAATAAGAGGGGCAATCTGCATGCATCTGAACACTCTTCTCAAATTCCAACCTTCATGTCTATTCACAAATTAGCTCCACTTATCCACTCCCATTTCTTGTAGTGTCTCCTTCTATGCTCCCAGCTGTACCAGACTCGACTTCCCACTTGTATGAGACTTCTACAAATATGATCTTATGTTCTTGCACACAGCCTCTTATGCATACATGGTCCTCTTTCAACTGATTTGTAAGCTATTATCTTCCTCTCCAAATCTCTTCCCAAGATCTGTTTCTGTAGCAACTTCTAATGCCAGCATTTAAATAATTAGGCTGAAGATCATTTGGAGAAGGTAAATATGTGTGCATGCAAATGTATTAAAAACAAACAACTCTTTCTCATCTTAGAGTAGTGGTTTACCAGGGTGAGCCCCTGGCGGGCCACCATTGCTTTCTTTACCTGTGCCTCCACAAGTTGGGCACTTGCAGCTCTCATTGGCCACAGAGTGCCATTCCCAGCCAATGGGAGCTGCAGGAAGTGGCGTGAACTGGGGGACTACCTCCTTCAGCTCCCATTGGCTAGAAACAGTGATCTGTGGCCAAAGAGCCGCAAGCGTCCATACGTGCAGAGGCGCAGGTAAAGAAAGCAGTGGCAGCCCAACCTTGGCAAACCACCTCCGGCTTATTGCCCACCCCTATCTTAGGCCATAAGCTCTCTCGACTAGGGACCACTTCTACTTTTATTTGTGTGGCAACCAATATAACAGGACTAAAATATTGATCAGACATCTGGTGACTACTGTTATACAAATAACATGTTGTATTCCCCTTTCTTTCTTATCAACAATGTGTTCTCAGGATAGGGACAATCTTCCTTTGAATATATAACACCATTATTTGGATAATCTTAGTTTTCCATTCTTTATAGTTATTTATTGTCTTAAAAGATTAGTTAGAGAAGCATTTTGAGTGTTTTAGAAAAAGTAAGATTATAATAAAAATAATCTTGAACAATAAACCCCCATGAAGAGCCATTTCTCTACACAGGTTCTAAGCTATTAGTGACTTCATATTTAAGGCTATAGATTCCCACTGTAACAGCTTTCCACAAACCTTGGCTTATTTTGCTAGGAGGAAAAATAATCCCTAGCAACTTCTGATTGAACTGCACAGTCTGAGTATGTTTTTTTAGTTTCAGAATAATTCAATAAATTGTGTTTGAATTGAGATTCTGAACGCCTTCTTCATTTTGAAAATAGTTCTAGTTGTTCATCCAATAATATTTTAAGGGACATGATTTGAAAACTTCTGTACTGTTGAAATCTTTAATGAGAACTGCTTTCTATATCTTATGTTGTCGTAGTATTCTGTTAGATAAAGTGTCACCATCTTAGTAGGCCATCTTCTGATCAGCTGATTAGAAACCTATAGGGTTTTTTCTCCAAATTTGTAACAGGTTAATTTTTCCCTTACTGAATTCTGTGAGCGGTGTGATCGATATTCACTGAGACTGTATCATTCAGAATGTAAATCAGTAATTTATGCTCCTCCCCAAATTACTGTCTGCTGGAGGACCTTAAATTCTTGATCCTGGCTACTGGCATGGAATCCCTTAGATATGGGTCAAACCGTGGTAATTGTCTTTTTTGGGGGGGTACACCTCTCAGATTGCAGCTCTTGGATTCAGCAACTTCCCTAGCAATGGTTATGTTGAAGACTTCTGGTATATAGGATGAAGGTCAGCAAGGTGATATGGAGGAAGACATAAAGTATAGTTAGTTATGTAACTTGTTAATTTTAATTGTGTGTTAAAATAATGGACATCTTACCTTACAGCCAACTAAAATTTTTAAATAATAGTTTGTGGAATTCGTAATAGATGCTTGTAACTTTTGATTGTCCTTTTCAATATTTATCCACCAAATTTTGTGTTCTCTGCAAGTTTGGATATTAAAATGACACCACCTTGCTTTAAATTACTTACAAGGAAGATAGTGCTTCAGTACTGATTCCATTTGCTGGCAATTCCTTACTTCCTGCCCACCCGTCCCGAGCCCCTGCCCACCTTCCTGACCTGTACACTTCTTACTAGAATAATCTGTCTTTGTCTTCCCAACCACTTACATTTCATTCATTTAGTACCTGGGTATTATTGGTCAATTCAATTCCATGATTTCATAATGTCCTTATTAACTTGTTTCCGATTTACAGCTATCTGACATGTACTTCCTGTCTTAGATCTGTTTCCTGATCAGGGAAATTCACAATGAGCTCAGCACCCAGATTTGGGTGCTTTTATTTATTTTTATATAAAACCCTTTTATTTGAGGTATAATTGAATATATATGGGAAGAGGCAGAATTCACTGTAGTTCAAGGACTAGATCTAGAATTCCTGTAACTGTTGTTCATCTCAATATACCTTTCTTTTTTATTTTAAATTTCAGTGTTCGAGGAAGCTTAACAGAAGGTGGCTTTGTGCAGCTAAACAAGTTGAAAAGTGGTGGACAAAGGGGAAAGACACATTAATTTTATTATTTTGTTTTCAGATTTACCCTTTGGGCTTTACTGTTTGTAATGGCTCGTCTTTTGACCTTAACCTTATCTGTGCTCACGTTTGGATTTGGTCTGGCAAGAGTAGAGAATCCAGGTTTTTCCATAGCAGACGGAAACTTCAATGTTCTCACTGTGAGGTATAATAAAGCTAGTAGACCTTCATGTTTGAGTAAAGTTACTGCTAAATCTTTTTTTTCCAGTATTTTTTTATAATTGACTTGATATGACTACTGTGCAACATCTTGTAGGCTTTTGCTTTAAACTTTCCCTGTGGCAATTATGGACATACTGTACTTTTAAGATATCAGTGCCTTCACTTTTGATAAACTTTTTAGAAGAACCCAAGCAATCTTCTAACATGCTCATTCTTGCATGCTCATTTTTTAAGTCACATTAATTTTTCACCAGGAGCTCTGCTGTTTAACCTGCATCCCAACAATCTTGTTCATTCGGCAGTGGAAAGGAAATGGAATTTGTATACTAGTGTTATTAAAGCTCATTCTTATATCATTTGGCAGAGGAGGCGCTGTTGTACAATTTGGTACCAGCCAGTAAAGGATGTCTGTCATAGTTCCTTGATAAGCATGGATACTTTTCTGTGGTGTGCTTACATGTAGCTCCCATTTATTTAATGCATGTTATATGCCCTGTCTTGGATATTACCCTTTGCCACATCTGGTTTCCATCAGCATTGGAGGTTTAATTTCTAGGAGTGATCAACTGCTTTTTAAAATGGATATTTAGTGCTGCTTTGCTGTGTAACAATGTAAAATCAAAATTTGTATCTAATTTCTTATTTTCATCTGACGTTTTAGGATTAGTTGCTTGGCTGCAATTTGTCTAACACAGGCCTGGATGATGTGGAAATTTATAAATTTTCAGCTGAAGAAATGGAGAGAGCATATCCAGAACCAGCTTCCTAAGAAAAAAATCACTTACACAAAGAGCAAATCAACAAAAAAGGAACCAAACAAAGGTCAGTAGTTTTTTCAGTCACTTCAAATATATATAACAAATTTTATGCTTATTTTTTTTCTTGAAATCATCCATTTCTTATTATATAGTGAAAACAGATGTCACTTTTAGCTTCCTCAAAGATAAAAAATAGTCAGCTTCAAAGCATACTTACTTATGGGATGCTATATTGCCTGTTGCCAACTTGAGCCAATAGAGGGACAATACTGTACTATAAAAAAAACCAAAATTAACAATAGCTCCACAGAGCTAAAGTTCTTTTTAGAGTTGATGTCCTTCACTGAATTCTGCAGATAGACTCCATAAATGCTGCATGTTACTAGGTTGAAAAGTTTTTTAAAAATTACTCTTAAAGTTCCATTTCATCTTTAGAAACCGTCTTTGAATGCTTACAAATAAGAATGGTATGTTGTCTATTTTATCTATAAGGCTTTTAAGGTGGCATTTTTCTTGATAACCATAAATTCCATTTTTATTTAATTTTGGGCAGTTACATTCCTGTCACTTTTCTAAATTATACATTAAATTACAAAGACTTTTTTTATAATGACAATTGGAACCTTTCAAGAAAAAAACTACTATGAAATGAAATTGTAATCACTTAAGGACATGCAGTGAACAAAGATTTCCTATTATGTTGCATAGGTAAGATTTGGAAGAAAATTACATCTACTACTAGGAGACTAACCATGTTAGGCAGAAGTATATATGAAAGACTGGAATCTGTCACTGTAAGATCCAGTATAATGCTCTGAAGACTTGTTGGAATTGCTTACCAGGGTACTGTCTCTGGAACCTTTTTAGGAGCTCACTTGTTCATATCTTTCTGTACCTTAGGGATACTTCAGCTTTACTAAAGACATCATCCAGCACCCATGAAAATCAATTAAAATTATCTCATTATTCATAATGGGTGTTAGAGAAGCATCTTTTACTCTCCATTACCTTTCAGAGCCTTCAAGCTGCTGTAAAAGACATGTATCTGCTAGCCTACTCATCCTCCAACCTTGTGGATCCATCTCTTTTTCTATAATTCACTGCCTGCTGTTTCTCTTCATTTCTTTTCCGTATAGCAGCATGTAATTGACACTGTTATTGAGCTTCACAGCTGTCCGTAGTATTGTAAATAGCAGCAGTGAAAGTGTCTGAAATCTTGTGGATTTCACAGTCTGCTGTGGGTGGGCAAATCAATGAGCAGGAGATCATCTGTAGATGCAGGAGGATAACACTGCATTGGTCTGTGCTTCCCCTTTCTTGAAGGTCCAGGCAAGGGGGTGTGAGGGCATGAAGCTGAGGGCAAGGATGACATGGCTATGCATTTGGTGCTTTGGCGATGGGAAGGAAGCCCAGAGCTTGACCTAGTAAGTGACCTGCTAAAGTGAGATTAGGCACTCAATATAGCAGATAACTGTTTCCCATTGGTGCTGGCAGTCTCATGCCACTTTGCCCACATTAAATGAACAAAGCATCCCAAACCTTCTGTGATGCTTTTGAGGCACAATGTCCCTATGTTATAGACAGGGAAACTGAGGCACAGGTAGTCAATAAATTGCCTGAAGTCACACAGGAAGTTATCAGTAGTGCTAGGCTCGGGTAAACTTAAACTGCAATAGTCCTACCTTCTCTCCTCCAGCTCAATGTATACCATACCTCCTACACTTCAAGGTTGAAATAAAAGACATAGTACAGCTCTTACCTTCAGATTTGCTTATGCCATGGATTCTTGGGTAGTGATCCATTCATCCAGCATATACAGCAAGAGGGCTTAACATCCAGTATCTGTTCTCAACTCTGATAATTTCAATTTTTGGTACCTTTCAGTTCTCTATTTTAATAATAGGAATGAAGAATCCCTTCAACCCCAACCCACAACAGCAGCAACCCTCCAACCCACGGCTCCAACCCCCAGTGGTAGCAAATTGCCTGCCCACAGCCCCAAACCCCAGTGACAGGGACCCTACCCGCCCACCTGTGGCCCCAACCCCTGGTGGCAGCAACCCGCCTACCACATGCTTCCTCTGGATGGCTGCAGCAGCTGCTTGCCTACCCACCACATGGTTCCTCTGGTGCCAGGTGGCTGGAGCAGCCACCCGTCTGCCATGCAGTTCCTCGGAGCCCAGCCGCCGGAGCAGCTGCCTACCTGCCACTTGTCTCCCACCACACCGCTGTGCAGCTCTGCTTAGGAGGTGGGTGGGGTAGAAATTTCTTCTGTAGGCCTGCAGATTAGAGGGAACTATTCTGCGAGACAAATATTTTAGGTTACCGTAGACTTCTATTGTGTTATTATTGACAGTTCACGCATAACTATAATACAGAAAAATCTTTGGGTTCCAACCTCCATTGGCAAAGGGAATGAGGGAATTAGGAAGTGAGTATTCTAGAAGTCCTTCAAAACATTATCTTTCTTGTTCCAGTGCTCTACTGACACAATTTTTGCAAATGCTATAGCTCTGAGCAACAACATACTAAGAGACAGACTTAAGCATGTGCTTAAATGCTTTCTGGAATTGTGGCCTATGCCTTTAATCTTTGTTAAAACATTACTAAAGAAAATTTACTGGTATTAGTGCAAAAGGGAGCCCCTACTGCAGGCAAGTGTATAGCAACTTCCAGGGTTTTTACTCTGCTTACATTTGTTTGTTAAACCAGTGAGAAGAATGCTAGGAGGTCCCAGAGCTGTACCTACCATAAGCATGGAATTTGTTGTATGACATTTTTAGGTTTTCATTCTAACTTTTTGTTTTGCATTTTACAAAGGCACATAGCATTTTACCTGTACTTTAACTTTCCCTGCTTTAAAATTGCAGCTAACTTTGTCAATGGAGCAGTAAAATTAGAAGATGGAGGAGCATCACCTAGAACAAGAAAATCAAAAGCATTATGAGATAAAATCTAAAGTTAGAAGACAACATATTGACAGAAGACTGTGATTTAAAAATATATTATATCACTGCAGATTCATAGGCTAATACTATTATTTTGTCTTGTTATGATTTAAATTGACACTGTCAGGTTAAAATTATATATTTTAAACACATTTCTTTATTAATACATAAGTTATTATGAAAACTGATCATCTTTAATCAAATTTATTTACAATTAATGTTTGCCTCTTTTGGTTTCACTTAGCTTGGACAATGAAAACAGAAAAATCATTTGCACTTTCTGGCTCTTAGTAGCACAATTCTGCAGTGTATTAGTGACAGATATTTCAGGAGAATATTTCAATCTAAACAATCTGTTTATTTGGAATTAGAAGATTTACCTGGCATGACTCAGGTTCTTAAATTTTGTTTTTCTCTATTTAAATCATTGTTCCAGGGTGGGGCTGGGGATGAGAGGTTCGGTATGCAGGCTACCTCAGAGAGACAAAACAACCCGAGCCCTTTCTCACCACAGCAGCTTGGGGCTGCAGCTCCCAGCAGACACAGAAAGCGCAGTGGTGCATGTCTCCCAGCTGGGGGACAGACACAGACAAACTCTCTGAAATATATACTAGATAGCTGTTCCTTTCTCCACTCCTGCCAGTTCAATAGGGTTATAGCTTTCTTGCTTCCCCCCGTGTGGTCATTCTGCGGTATAACTCCCTCCTGCCAGACCCCTCCTTTCTATTTTATGAGAAACAATAGAATCCCAAGCACATCTCATTATCCTGGCACAACCAAACTATGGATGAAAAATCCTGTTGAATTAGTTAGACAGTTAAACATATTGTTTAACTGCTTAACAGATTAAATGGGGAGTAAGCAGGGGGGATGGAGGGCTGCTCCAGCCCTCCCCACCTGCTGCTGGGCAGGAGTGCCCCCTCGAGCTGGAGTAGCACCTGTCTGCGGTGGGCCCTGTGGAACCTGATAAGGGTGATGCTTACCAGTTAACCTTTCACATCCCTAAACCAAACCATGACCGTGTTTTATGTTATCATAAGAGGAACTTATTGTTTCTGCATACCAAATTTGGTGAGTCTAGCTCTTACTTTTTATAGGCGTTCTTAAACAAACCAACTCTCAGATGGACAGACATACACACATTTCTAAAATAAATAGTAATTTTTAAAAACAAATATTGGAAACATTTTCATTAAAATTATGCTTTATAAAACCAGTTTTACAAAACCTAAATTATGGGCCAAAAATATATGACCATATGTGTTTAACTTTAAACTTCTGCACAACTGACTTAAGAGATAGTATATCTGAAATACATACAAGCATGGCAAAAAAAGAGTAAATTACATCTATTTCCCTTTAAAGATTATATAAAACGTGATTATGTAACATGTTCATCAAGTTCTGACTTAGTATACCTAACTTCCTCTTAGGCGATTTTGATATTTTACATATACACTCAGAGTATCGAATGCATTCACCTTGCAGAATTGCCAACGTACATAGGGAGTTTGAAATAGATCGTAATGTCTTATCTGGAAATAAGTTGTCAATTATTAGTGTGAAAGATTAGTGTGAAATCTTGGTGCCATTGAAGTAAATGGCAAAACTGACACAGATATTACCCCCATGGCAAAATTTTGTGAGAATTATTCTGGTAATTTTTCTTTAAATTTTTGTTACCGACCTGGATGATAGTTACACATGGCTTTTTCATAAATACTATGAAGTTGAATTTAGTAAATGTAATTTCTGTAACTGGGGGTTTTTTTTAAAAGTAGCTAAGATTTTTAATTACCTGTGTTAAGGAGCCACTTGTTTTGGTTTCAGAATCAGGTTTAAGTTTTTGTATCTCCATGAAGCTATTAAGGTGCTCATTATTTAAATATTGATTTTTATATGATTTATATTTAAATCTGTAGACAATTTCAGAATGTTTCCTCAGAAATAATAAGATCTGATGCTAGTATAATTAAGTGGTCTAATAAATACTGCATTAAAGGCCTCTTATCCTCAACCAATGCATCCATTTTGCATGACTACTTGCCATCCTGTTAGTCAATTGGATCCTATTTCTCCAGCATACAAAATTTTGTTCAGAAAACAGCTGACATGCATTAGAGCTGATGTTTTATTATATGCCTTGGGTGCATGAAACACCAGATATACGCATTAAATTGCTTTGTCGTGTGTTCTGAAGTGGTTAAGATTTAGGAAGGTTTAAAGTTCTTAAGCCCTGGTCTACACTAGGACCTTATTCCAAAATAACCCCTTCCCCTCAAGTTAGAATTTATAAGCAGTGTGTTCACACTACTAAGCCTGTTATTTTGAAATAACGGGCTGCGGAATTCGAACTCTGTACTTCTCCTTTTCTTGAGGAATAATGCTAATTCCAAAATAGTAATTGCAAAATAATGTTAGTGTGGATGCTCCGGTGCTGCTGATTCAAACTTATTGGCCTCTGGGAGGCCTTCCGCAGCTCCCCAGTGTGCTTCCTGGGTCTCTAAGTCTGAGGTAATGTGTCCACATTAATGGAGCTTGTCTTGGACTAATTTCGATGCTTCCCTGTAGTGAGGACACACTAGTTTGAATTTGTTAAATCAGGAGTTCTTAAGTCAAATTTAGTAATTTTGAAATAGTGTCCTAGTGTAAACATGGCCTCAATGTTAATGCCACAAAATATAACATATACAACTTTATTGAAAGAATAATTATTTAATGTTTATCCATATGTAGGTTTTTTCTTTATTGCTATTTCTACCCTTCTCTCCCCCAATCCCCCCCGGACTGGCTGCCCAGCTTCTTTTCCTTTTTTTTTTTTTGGGGGGGGGGGGGGGAGCTAGTGAAGTGAAGCAGAATCTACACAGACTGCTGAGGAGGCCACTTTAAAAATTCAGCTGCATCTACCCAATTCTTCCCCCTAGAAACTGGTTATAGACTCATTTCATATAGAGCATGAGTTCACATCCAACAGAAAGAGTTTATGGCCACTGTTCCCCTAGTCTACAATTGATTATTATTTGTCACTTAAACACACTATGTTGAAAGCACTTTAGAAGAATAAATTGTCATTACCCTCTGTAAGGTACATAAGTAGCAGTGTTCTCAGTGTATAAATTAAGAAAGTGACAGGTTAAGTGACTTGTCCTAGTACACAGTAGGGCTCATTGCCTCTCTGCTGAGAGTAGAAATCAGGATTCTGAATTCCTAGCGCAGTGAATGAATCATGCCTAACTCCTGACCAAACTTCTGTGAAAAGTGAGCGAGAATTCCATATCATATTACCAAGCCCTTGGATCATGCAATTTTTTAATCTTAGGTGTTGCCATATTGATCTAAGCACTTGTTTGACTATGATAAGGCTACTGATATTTTTGTAAGTTACCTACATAGTAATGACTGGTATTTAAGTCTTATGAACCTATTTTCTAATTTGCCCTAACTGTTCCCATGTGCAAATGCATTGTAGGGGTATCGTGTAATTTATCATAAACCTGTACATTTCTACTGAGAATGTTTACCATGGAACTAAAATATATATATTTTTTAACAATTTTAATAAACGTATTTGTATAATCATGAATGCCTCATTTAATAAAAGTATCTTATGAGCAGTTTTGGCGTGACCTGCTTAGCCTTTACCATACTGCTCACAAGACGACACTTTCTTTGATAAGTACCCACAACTGTAAGTATGCCATACATTTAGGTTTTGGGCCACTTTCCAGCTGAGACAGCCAAAGACTAGTTATTATATAGGTAAAATCTTTCATCCTGAGAAGGGGATTACACTAAGGACACTGAATATAGAATAAGTTATATTGCTTTCACATTATTGATACATTTTATTGAATAAAAACATTTTTCCTTTCCCCCCCATTCATTTCAAAAGCATTCAGACCAAGATTTTTTTTAAAAGCCTAAAATTAGGTCACATCTATAGCTATGCACCTAAAAAGTACACTTTTAAAAGCATGGAACATCTAGCTGTTACCATAATTTAGTAACCAGATTCCCATTATGGGCACCACAGAACACTCAACAGTCTTCAAAATCTAGACACTTATTTAGGAGGCTAAGTCATAATTTTAGGGTGCTGTTCTTTAAATCTTTTCCCCTTCAGTATTATGGAAAAGTACATTTCTAGCACAATGCTTATGAATTCACTGAACAAAATGTATTTGGATGCTATTCTTGTTGCATGTCATATATAATGGACACTCTAAGGCATCTGTTTCTGAAGTCAAATAATTTAAGTGAAACATTTAAAGTGTCCTTGGCGCATAAATATTGTATGTATAGAGACTGTGTTCATGCACACATACCAGATCTGTAAAATAAGGATAGGAATCAGAGTCTTGTAGCCTGAGAGGAAAACCTCACAATTTTTTTTGAAAGGTAAAAATATTTGGTTTAAATCTTTTTTCATTCCATGCCATTTTTGGTTGCTCACCCTGGAATATCAAAATGCATAGCATGGACTAGGCCTGTGCCTTAATATTAGGACTTTTTAGTAAACTTTAAACAACTTGAAGAAAAAACCCCCCACAAACCTTTGCTTAAGGCAGTATGTATTGGTAACTTTGCAATGTAATTCCGTATATATTTCAGTGACTGTTGCACTGTTTGAAAAGTCAAATAATAGAAGATGGAAGGTTGGGGGTGGGAAGTATGTGGCTTATTCCTTCCCAAAGCAAGTATGAGTTGCATTAGGGAGCAAACTTAGAGCTGGCTGTTCTGAGGTAAGGACTTTTGTGTGATGACGGGAAGTGGCAATGATCCATGTTATTGTTCAGTTCCTTGTAGGCTAATATGTAGAATGACTATTTATTTTTTTAGTTTTTGTTGCTGTTTGTTTTTTGGAGTGGTGGTTTGTTGCTTTTTCTACCTGATTCGAGGGTGGTTGACTATAACATGTGAGGGAAAGATAATGGGTTAGGCGAGTGAAAGCTATCTATGATACTAATAAATAACTGTTCTATTATTCCCTTTTGATTGTGAGTAGAAAACTCCCAGCCCACCTAATATTAATTTTTATTTGATTTGAAAGAGTAAATTTTAAGACTTCAAAAGTAAGTACCCCAGTCCTGAATTAATTTTACACTGCCAAATAAAATTTGACACACATTGCTTTGTTCATTGGTTGAAAGAAACTTTGTGACACTGTCAGGACTCATGTACTTGTATTAAGCACAATATTTAGAAGGAAGTTAGGAGGGGTTAGCAAATAAAAATTCCCAAGTGCTTGACAACTGATTTTTTTTTTAAGTTTTGTACATTTGGAAATGTTCTTCAACAACCTCTTCTACCACCTTTGAAATATCAACCATTTTCTAACAAAATATTAATCTAATCCATACAGCTGAAACTATAACAAGACTGTAATTCATCAAAGGACTTGCTTAACTTCCACTGACTTAAATGAGACTTGAGTACATGCCAACATGCTCTGCTATACTGGGGCCAAATTCAGGTATATGGTATTCAGGATTATGCTTGGGAGTGCATATGCCGCTTCATCTTTAAAGAGTATCAAGGTGTCAAGGTTTAGAATTCTCAGAATGTCTAAATGTCTTAAGCCATGTCTACGCTTACCTGCGGATCGACACTCCAGAGGTCGATCTTCTGGTATTTGATTTAGTGTGTCTAGTAAAAACTCACTAAATTGAACACTGAGGGTGGCACTCATATTCTTCGTGAGGAGTAAGGGAAGTCAACAGGAGCTTTTCTCTTGTTGCCCTCCCACTAAGAGGATTGTGTCAAAGTTTGAATTAAGCTATGTTGACTCCAACTACACAATTAACGTAGCTGGAGTTGCATATCTTAATTCAAACTTATCCCCTAGTGTAGATCTGGCTCAAGGAATACTTATAACTTGTGCCCAGTGACTCAAAGGTCTTTGGGACAAATCTACACCGGTGGAAAAAAATCAATGTAAAATATGCAATTCCAGCTACAATTGCGTAGCTGGAGTCAACATATATCTATTTTCTGGGGTGGACCCGTATCAGGAGGTCCACGGAAGAAATGCTCCTTTCAACTTGCCTTGCTCTTTGCGACTGTGAGGAGTACTGCAGTTGATGGAGGCACTGTCAACGTTTGATTTCGTAGGTCTTTACTCGACCCGCTAAATCGAACACAGGAAAATTGACTGCTGCAGTGTCTATCTCTGTGGCTGTAAAGACAAGTCCTTAGACCCCAAATTCACTTTAGAATCAAGGCCCATTGATTTTAGTGGGTGTTAAATGTCTAAATGGCTTTAAAAATCTGGGTCTTGGGCATTTCTGAAAATATTACCCAAAGTGTTCAAGATCCTCTTCTAACAAGTATTTTATAATCTATAGAGATATACCATCTTATAGAACTGGAAGGGACCTTGAGAGATCATTGAGTCCAGTCCCCTGACCTCATAGCAGGACCAAGTACCATCCCTAACAGATTTGCTCCAGGTCTCTAAATGGCCCCCTCAAGGATTGAGCTCACAACCCTGGGTTTAGCAGGCCAATCCTCAATCCACTTAGCTATCCCTCCTCCCCACAGTATCATAAATAATGAATGTCCTTATTTTTACCAGTTTCCTATATCTTCATTAAACTAGCTTGATATTTTTCATTTTAATAGTATCATGAACTTCAAATACATTAAGGGTCAAGTTCTGCCTTTATGCTTGCTTGAAACCCCATTGACTTAGCCGAGGTTGCATGAGATGTTAGCACAAAATCTGAGGCAAAACTTTCTAGTCCTGTGACAACTCCATGAGTAGTCCTACTCATTTGTGTAAGCATTTTACTAAATCATCATAAATAATATTTTAGAACCATTTCACTCAGTTTTCTGTTGTGTCCTGTCTAGTTACAGATTTCATTTGTACTTCAGGAGTTCTTCAAAGGTAAGGTTTATTTGGGGGAGGGAAGCATGTACATTAAAGTCACCTGGTAACAGCTCTTATCCATTTCAAATAGAAAAATCTAAGTATGCAAAGAACCTATTGTGAAACCAAACTTGGATCCTCTTATTTTAACCTTCAGAACATGAAAGGGTTATGCTTCATCTGCAATATGTTGCTTTAAGGTTACAATGACATTAGTAGTAAATATAACATAATTTAAGTGACAAATGTGTATTTTAAGTTTTAAAATTTGATTTAAAACCACTTTACAGATTTACTGATGCTGTTCCTGCAGCAGTATTTCAACCAGGGCCTGATCAAACTATTAAATTCAATACTCCCAATGGGAGTTGGACCAGGCCTTAATGGTACTTTTTTTTTTTAAAGTTGCTTCACTCTAGCTCCAAGATTTGAGAAAAATTTCTAGATGCCCAATATTGTCAAATAATGAAGCCCTGGTATTGCATATGTTATAAATCATTTAATTGGGTTTCCTATTAAATTTGGCAGAGGTGGCAATTAATTGTTACTTTTATAAATGTATCATCTACACTTGCATATCTCCCAACATTATCTATTTGAATGTCTGCTATATCTCCTTAAGTTGGAGGTATATTGCTTCTTGGAATACACTGATGCCTTCTTTATTCTGTCTGAATGTTGGATGCTTCCCCATCCTCCAAAATGTAAAATATGCTAGTGCTGAGAATTGTTGGCTAAAAGGACCTCAATACTGTAAATCATAAAGTTATAAAATTAACCCTCTCTTTGTTATTAGTTTTAAGCCTCAGAAGTTGAAACTAAACCTATGGGTTTAACAATGATGAACAAGAGAGTAATGTTTACAAACTGTAATAGTGTCTTAACATTTTTTACAATTACAGTTATCCAGTAAAATGTATATGTAGAATTGACTCTACATTTAAACCAGCAATGTAATACATATTATACTGCTCATGAACTATGATGAACGTGGAATCATCTGATTGCAACAAATATGAAAGCTTGTTTTTAAATTGACATTAAACTGTACCTTCCATTTAACTGATTTGTCTTTTCTCTTTCAATTAATCCATTTGAGTGCTGAAATGCATTGTTTTTTCTCATGCATTAAGAAAAATAAATCTGTTTAAACACTTTATCCACAGTCTATAGGCTAAGATTGTGCTATAATGAACAAAATTCTTGTTGAAAACACCATCAGTTATTTTACTTTTGAGCCTGGTAAAGTATATGTAATTTGGTTGTTTTGTTTGTTGTTTTTGTTTGATTTCAGTTGGTAAAACATAGCACAAAAGCTATGTTTTCTTATGTATGTAAACTTGTGATCATTCGTTTGGTAAAATGTCTAAAAGGAGACCTTGATCCATAGAAAGTTTTGCTGGTGTTCTGTAACTGTTTCTGATATGTATTGATGATTTTTTTTAATTCTGTAATTATAATTATTTTGTGCTGACATTAAATCACTTTTTATTACTACACTAAATCAATTGACTTTTATAATTTGGTCAATTACAGTGTCAAGCCATCTGAAAAGCATTAATAGTGTCTATGGAGAAAGTAGTATAAAAAGTGTGCACATAATTTTGCAAAGTGTTTGCTGCCATAAGGCACCTCTTTCTCCTGTCTCCATGGTGCATATAATGATCCTTCCAGACTGGGCCAGACAGCGGTTGTGAGGACTTTTCATTATATTTTTCCCTCCCCCATACTTCACCCCCCTCCGCCAGAAGTGCAGCTACACAAATGCATTGCTGCTAAGCCCTTATGTATACACACAACAACGTAAAGTAGGTGTTGCAATTTTTAGTTGTGCTGCAGCATGTCTACATTTAGACTTTGTTTACATTTAAAAGGTGTATCTGCATAGTTTATTAGTAGACCCCAGCACAGATAGCAAAATATGTATTGCATCCACAAAAATTAGTATCCCCATCTGCAGATACCAGCCTATATCTGCAAATTTGCAGGGCTCTAGATATAAAATTTGTATCTGCATCGGAATTTGCAAAAATGAGCCACGGATATCCACATCCTCAAATGCAGATACCCGCAGATACAAAGTACAGAGCTGAAGATTTGCAAGGTTTTCTAGGCATCAGCATTCCTGTATCAACAAACATTTCCATTGTAAATGCAGGAATGTTAATGTAAAGAGTGCTACATCTGCATAGATAATGTTTGGGGATATGGTGTTCCTAAATCTAGAGAGAAACTTCCATCAGGATAGGCTGCATCTAAATCAGTGGTGGGCAACCTGCAGCCCAAAGGCCATGTGGTCCATTGGAGTTTTTCGTGTGGCCCACCAGACATTCTGTTTACTGTTGCTCACACACAGGGTTGCTCGATACCACTGGTTTCTGTCTGTGTTGGTTTTTGCCTACCAGTGTTACTACAGTGACATGTACACAAAGCAAGGGGATGCGAAGTGAGATGTGTGCTGATTGCACACAACATTGATTATGAAAGTCATAGCTCCCTCTACATCCAGTCAAAGCACTGCTACCTTTCAGTCGGCACACCCTGAAAATTGTAGGTACACAAGCACAGTTAGCAAACTATCTTATCTCAGGAGAGCATCGTGATTAGAACGGGGTTGCGATCTGATGAGCTGAAAGAGGGTCACTCCTGTGGCCCACTCACTACCCTAGGTTGCTCATGGTTGATCTAAACTATGGTTGCTTGACAACTGTAGGCTTTCTAAGAATTCTAACTCAAATATAATGGTACCATTTTTCCATTCATTCTATGCAAGTAATATAATACTGTACTGTATACTACATACACAGTGCTTTGCAAACATGAACATAGTGTAGTACATAGATGGTTAGACTTTTCCACAAAAAGGACTTACCCATTGACTTTCAATTGTAATCGTGCTCTTTTGAAAATCCCATCCTCAAAGTAGTGTAGTATATTTATAAATGTGGTTCCTTTTGGCTCATGCAGCACCAACTACAGAATTTGCAGACAGAACATAGTCAAATGTTATCAACAATTCATGAGCCAAAATATAATCTACTTCACACCAAATAAATTGTCACTTTTTTCATAGTGTTTTTCACAACAAAACTGCACTTTGAAGAAATGACTAATTTAGAAAGTTATGTTTGATCCCAGATCAATTAAATCTCATATTTTAAAAATAAGAGGGAAGGGCAGATGCAGATTTATAATGACCCGTGGAGTTGAAAAGTTTTTTTAGATTCCTATTTGATGATTCTTTGAGCTGAATCAAAGACTTTCCTAGGAGAGCCCTTTCTCAATCACTGGGAAATTAAATCTAATATATAAAGGAGAATGTGTGTATGTTTGTGCTCTAATAACTTGGACACTATAAGACCTACCACAACCAAAATTTCCATGGGATAACCTTTCCTCCGGGAGAAGGTTTTAAGGTACAAGTGGGAGGGAAAAGATGAGAGACCAACGCCTCTGTGAAGGATAACTTAATCTCAATAAGCACTACTCTAATAGGCAAGCATTTATGTCTTTTGGAAGGGCCTCAACAGTGATCAGCTGCATCCTATAAATCATAATTACTTATTTATGGATTCTGATATAAAGGAACCAACTTCTAGCTAAACACTGGATACTTATTTGGTTTACCAGTGTACATACTTTTACTGAGTCATGTGCTCTAGTAAAACATACTACTTGTTCCTTTGTCATACACAGAGACTTTAATAGATTCTCAAAGTAAGAATGTATTTTTTTCTTAATGGAGAGATGGTGGAGTTGAGACTGTCACTGTCTCTTTTGCAAATTTGAGAACGTGGTGTGTTGGAGATGGCCAAATCATTATTCGTACATTTTATTATTAGGTTTTTAAAAATCCAATTCAAACACACGTTCTAATATGTAGATTTGACACTTTCTAGAAGGTTTAGATTACATTTACCCATAAGTTTAGTACAGGTTGAACCTTACTGGTCGCGGATGAAGATTTTTCTGGAGCAGGGGAGGTCATTTCAAGCCCCCTGCCATCCCACTGGGCTTCCTGGCTTCTCCTGCAGCACAGCTGAGCCACATGCCAGCTCCCCTCCCTCACAGCTGCAGCCTAGCTGAGCCACATGCTGCCCCCCTGCCACTGCCCTGCACCGCAGATGAGCTGTACACTGGCTCTTGCTCCTCCCCACAGCAGCCCAACTGAGTCCCACACTGGCTTTCAGCCCCCGCTCACAGCCCAACTGAGCAATGTGCTAGCTCCCTAGCCCCCACCACCCTGCAGCATGCCAGTGGGTAGGGTGCAGAAGCATGTGGGAGTAGGGTGTCTAGCCAGGTGGAGGGAGCAGGAGTAAGGGAGTGTGTAGTGTGTGGCCACGAGAAAAGTTGCAGGAACAAGGGAGGGAGTGCTGGGTCTTGGGAGGGAAGTGAGGGGTTTGGAGTGGGGGGAACCTTACCTGGCTTCATGCCTCCTTGCAGCACTGGCTGCAGCCTCGCTGTCCCAGCCACCCCGGAGGGAGGCCCTGCTGCTGGGGTCCATGTGGTCTGGGCCTGGCCCCAAAGGCCCTACTTAGCAAAACATTACACTATTGAAGAGGGGCCTCTATATGCTTCCAGCAATGGTGGAGAAACAAGCCAGGGTGATTTGGGGGCTCTCCCTTCCACTGTGCTTTTAATGGCTCCAAGACTCATGACACGGGAAGAAAACAGAGACACAGTTTCTATTGTGACTTCTGTATCTAAGTTTGCCAAGTCAAATAGCTCTGATTCTCAACATTGCAATGCCTCTTTTTTGAGTCAGAGATTTTGCTTTATGCAGCAGTAGGAAAGCATGGCAGTGGCAGTGTGGGGGAGAAAGAGTGGGGCTGAAAATCAGCTTGAATGTCATTAGTGGCACACATGCCATAGGTTACTGACCCATTATAATAGATGTTTGTTCCTCCAGTTTCCTGGGCAACACGGGGTAAGTCCAGCTAGTACTAAAATATCTAAAGTTAAGTATACAGTAGTAGTACTTATAACTACAGCTGCTCAGTAACATTTGGCACAATTTTGAACAAAATGTCACACCTCTAGAAGCATACAGTATTATCCCTTGTAAAGTCTGTGTATCTGGATAGTCCTTGGCTGACATACCTAAGCCAGACTTGATTCTGTGAAGGATAACTTAATCTCAATAAGCACTACTCTAATAGGCAAGCATTTATGTCTTTTGGAAGGGCCTCAACAGTGATCAGCTGCATCCTATAAATCATAATTACTTATTTATGGATTCTGATATAAAGGAACCAACTTCTAGCTAAACACTGGATACTTATTTGGTTTACCAGTGTACATACTTTTACTGAGTCATGTGCTCTAGTAAAACATACTACTTGTTCCTTTGTCATACACAGAGACTTTAATAGATTCTCAAAGTAAGAATGTATTTTTTTCTTAATGGAGAGATGGTGGAGTTGAGACTGTCACTGTCTCTTTTGCAAATTTGAGAACGTGGTGTGTTGGAGATGGCCAAATCATTATTCGTACATTTTATTATTAGGTTTTTAAAAATCCAATTCAAACACACGTTCTAATATGTAGATTTGACACTTTCTAGAAGGTTTAGATTACATTTACCCATAAGTTTAGTACAGGTTGAACCTTACTGGTCGCGGATGAAGATTTTTCTGGAGCAGGGGAGGTCATTTCAAGCCCCCTGCCATCCCACTGGGCTTCCTGGCTTCTCCTGCAGCACAGCTGAGCCACATGCCAGCTCCCCTCCCTCACAGCCCACCTAATCTACGCGCCAGCTCCTGCAGCCCAGCTGAGCCACCAGCTG